ACTGTCAACGATACCAATCTAGAGTTTTCCCAATATCAGTACCAATACAGATATTATCAGATCGGTGCATTTCTAGTAATTATTGAATTAAAACAAGCTCCTATGTCTTGCTGAAAGGTTACTTTTGAGTTAGTTTTGCCTTATTTCATGTCTACTAAGATATTTGTTGATCTGCACACAGAAAGATAAACTTTCCAGATGTACATTAACAACACAAAGCTTCACAATGTTTCATCTTCTGAGTTCTGATCTGCAGCGAGCGGATGCAGGCTGGAGGAGAGGCGGCGTACCTGCAGAGTGCTGAGCAGGAGATGCAGGTTGGAGACGCTGTGCAGGACCTGCTGTGGGAAACAGTGAAAACAACGAATGTCATACGACCTGCATTCATCCTGCTGTTATCATCTTGCTTGGTGTTAAACTGCTTAAAGTGCCTTTTCTCCCCTTCCGTTCCATTTTTCTTGGTCTTAACACATACAAACCAGCTAAAACGACTTAAAGTTTTTGTTTGCAACCTGGCAAAATGTGAAAGAGTTCAAGCAGCATGAATAGGCTCTGTCCTGCAGCGTTTATGGAAGCCGGGCTTCATGCAAGCGTGTTCCAGACGTGACATTTTTCTTCTTTTTAAAACAGTCTAAATAGGACCAGGCCGCTGACCTTTACTCTGCTGAGTGTTTACAAGCATACAAATACGACTTATGTGATGTTAGTAGCAGCTGAGGAAGTGAACCCTCTGAAACTGGAGGTGAAATCTGAGGCACACAGCAGCCTCATGTCGGGGTGGGCATTTATCGTGTCGCTCATCTGTTTTAGTGAAAAATATCTTATTGTGATAAAAACTTTGATTTATCGTTGTCATAATGAATCTCAATTCTTGATGTTAAGTTACAAGACCCAGCACGATCAGAAGTTTTATTTTTTGCTATTTTTTCTACTTTTTGTTCCATAAGAGTGTAATAAAGATCAGTAAATTAAATAAATAAATAAAAGATTTAATTTAGTTTGTTTACACTGCAAAAACAACATCTTGCCAAGTACTTTTTGGTCTAGTTTCTAGTGCAAATATCTTAGTACACTTGAAATCAGACAAAACTAACTTAAAAGCAACGTTTAAGCAAAATACATCAGCTTTTTTTAAAGTCAGAAATTCCTTAATACTGATGAACATCAATATTACATAAAAGTCAAAAATCAATACACGTAAAAGAAGCAATTATTTTTATGTATACTGTTTTGTTTAAAGTGTGCTAAGATATTTGCAGTAAAAACTAGACCAAAAACACTTTGTTAGATTTTCCGTTTTTGCAGTGTAGTGATAAAAATCACATTTATTTATTTATTTATTTATTTAAGTGGCATCACAAAGACGGCTTTTTCAGATGAGAATATTTGTATTTATGGCGATATGAATGCTGCGCCATGCAGTCACCATCCTGCAAAACTATTTATTATTACTTTTTTTTGTTTGTTTTGTTTTATTGCAATCTTTACTGTTATCACAATAGTACCGCAAAATATCTTCTCATCCCAGATTTAGTGTCACAAACTGCTCTGGATATTATTTCTGGTGTAAACCTCACTTTTTTTAAAAACATTTCCCTTTCTCTCTCTTTTTTAAAAAAAAAATGTACTTCATCTTTTATTTAGCAAGGCACTTGCATTTCCGTCTTTTTGTTCATTACTTCCAAAGAGCACTTTGTGCAACAGCCAAAAGCTGCTGCAACATCACGCATGAGCTGGGCTGCGGCAACAACAGTTGTTTTGACCGTTTCCATGCCGACGTCTCGTAGCGAGCCCGGAGACAGGAAGGCTTTCTTACCTCACTGTTCCTCTTCAGCAGCTGCAGCAGGTTGGCGTTTCCTCCCTGCACGCAAAAACACGAGAACTCAGACTGATTGAAGTCGCAGGCATGCAGATTATTAATGTGCAGCTTTTCTTTTTTAAGTTTAAATTTTCACTTTGATTTCTAGCTCCATGCTTATTTTCAAAAAAGGGCTCGTCTGCTTTTGTAATTATTATATTTTCCAAACAGGGCTCGTCTGCTTTTGTAATTATTATTTTTACTTTTTCATAATAAAATAATAATTACAATATTATTATGAAGAAACCTCCCGACAATCATTACATGCAGAAAAAACTGCATCCGTGACACAACAATGCCAGCAGCAATGGAATAAATGGAGGTTAATTTGTTTTTTTGTTTGTTTTGTTTTTCTTTCTTCTTCCCCGCCACTGCCGGATAGATATCCAGCTGATGGTCGTCAGTGGCAACAAGACCTGGCAGGAAGAGTCAAGAGGCTAATCCTGCAGTGGGGGGGGGAGTGCTGGGTGGGCAGCAACATTTATCTAAATGCTGTTGCTGATGTAGGAGGACACATGGCCTCAGGCTGCGTGTGAGTCAGGAAGAAGCCGGATGCTGAGATGCAGACCTTCTTCAAAACGCTGTCCGACTCCGTCCTGCGCAGGTCTCCCACCGCGTCCTCGCTCTCGTCTCTGTCTCCACCTGGTGAGACGGGGAAACAAACAAGACAGAGCATGTTTTTAAAAAATAAAAGTAAAAAAAAAAAGTTCATTCAATACATTTATCTTGTGTCAGGAATCGTCGGAGTAGGGTTATGGATGTGATCGCATTTTAAAGATGACAAGTTGTTCTTTTGCTCCTTTTTACACTTGTAGACAGGCAATATGTTAGTATAGCAATAAAAGATTTATGATGTTTAGGCTTTCTTTTTCAAAAAGCAGATGTGCCGAGTTTACCTGTAAGGTAGCTCTCTAAATATCAACCGTCTTTTCCATAAATGGAAATCAAATCCGTCTACACCTGATCCGTCTACACCTGATCCGTAAGAGAAAACCGTCTCATCTTTGGAACGTAGCGTTGAAGTTTGGAGGAGGTTCAAGTGAGATGTTTTACCTGCTCACGACGACAAGTTGGTGTGTCTATTTTACAACCAAAACACTGTGTGTAGCACAAAGCTAACACAATCTATGACGATGTGTTAGGGACATTGTAGACAGAAAAAAACTGAGTAAATTTCTGTCAAAAAAAACAACCAAAAATTAACTTTTTAGGCTAATTTCGGAAATTTTCTAGACAAAAGAAAAAAATTCTGATAATTAGTGATTAATCTCAAAAATTTGCATTTTTTTTTTGCCAAAAACGTACTCCTCCTGTTTTTTTTTTAATTTCTACAATGGCCCTAATATGTAGTTGTAGTACTCGTCTACATGACAGTAATTTTTGAAAAAGAAGTTGCCACTGCTCATTCTAATCTAATAAACCATTAATTGACAATTAAAAAGTGGCCTAGTCGAAAACAAGACCTAGTGCAAATAAAATTTTTTGGCACAACCTCAAAACTGCTGTTAACAGATGTTTTCTAGGCCATCTGACGCAGAAACATTTTTGTAGAACAATAGACAAAAACCTGTCTGTTGTTTGGGAAACCAGTAGAAATAAACCAGCTCAACACATAAAATGTTCTTGTTTTGGAAAAACTTGCCTCCTTTTTTTTTTATGTTAACTAAATTCAATTTGTGTTGCAACATAAGGAGAGACTCTGACTTTAATCAACAGCTCGCATAGGAAGCAACAACAGAAAATTAAACGTTACGCAACTTTGATGTTGACATATTTTTCAGAGAATCACAAAAGACTGTTAGTCAGTAAAAATAACTCGTTTCTTTACTCAACTTTATTCCGCCATGCGCATCTACCGAACAGCCAGACAGAAGAGCAAAAGAAGAAGCACACGAACCAATAACACATGCTCCTGGCATAACAGTGCCCCTAGTGGGTGGACATGTAATACAAATAAAAACAAGGAGTAACAAAGACTACAAGGAATTTTAAAAAAACATGAAGGATTCAAGCATTTAGTTTCTCAGCAGCAGTAGTAAAAACATACTAAGGTCCGTGTTTTTATGGGCAGAGTCATATTTATCTAATTTGCTCTGCGACTCCACCGTCCACTGAAATTGGAACATTTACAACCATTTTCGATTTCCGTCATAGTGCAGCTATTTTATTCTGCGGTTCGATCTTCTCCCTCTCCGCTCCCACAAATTCCGTCAGTAATACCAAATCCCATCTATCGTAGCCATCCTCGTTTGACTGAGGACGCAGAAGCAGAACCCCAGACCAGCTCAACGTGACGCGCTGCAAACCGCTTTCAAGCCCGGTCGGTGGAGAGGCGTCGCTTCAGGCCGCGCCTCCCTCAGGAAACCCCAGCCGCTTCTATAACACCTCGTCAACTGCACTGAACAGGTGCATCATGGGAAGCGTCAGGTGCTGCATCACCTCCAACTCGGTCAATTAAATGTGGAATTTTACAGCAGGATTGGGACTTTTTTTTTTTTTTTTTGGTGCATTTCCCAGCAATCTAACCCAACGTCAGAAGGCGGGGCTTACTCTTGCCGCCGTGCATCTGGTGACTGTCGAAGCCTCCGAACGTCTCGGCCCGACGGGGCAGGCACACGGGCCCGGCGGCTCCTCCCTCGTGCACGCTGGCCATCGCTCCCCCCAGGCTGCCATTCACCAGCGCCTGCAATGTCTCCACTGTTTACACACACACACACACACACACACACACACACACACACACACACACACACAGGCAGACATTAATGTGCAGGTCGGTAAGTGGATTATCCCGGCTAACTGTGTTACAGCTCAGTTCTGCACCCAAGAATCCAGCCAGGCACTCCTGGCTCCCGTTGCCAAGCAACAACCACCAACCTGTTTGATCCACAGAGCTGCTTCACTGAAACTTTCAATATATTTGCGATGCGAAAATGATTTGATCTCTGGACGAAAACAAAAAAATAAAAAAGGAGCATGTGCAAGAGACCGCAGGGATGAAAACAGGAGAAATAAAGAAAAGCAGAAATGCAGGCGTGTAAAAAATGCAACACTGAAATGTCATCAAGCTGTGAGTCGTTGCCAAAGCTGCAAGCTGGAAAACATTTTCTTGGTGTTCTAACCAATTTCAGGTTTGGTTTGGAGTTTTCTTCGCCTTAAGCAGCGTTTATTTCCCAATCTGCACTGCAAAAACACAAAATCTTACCAAGTATTTTTGTCTAGCTTCAAGTGCAGATATCTTATTAAACTTGAAGTAGGACAAAGCTATCTTAAAACTAACTTGTCAGCAAGATAAATAAGCTTGTTTCTCAGACAGAAAAAACCTGTCAAAAAAAAAACAAACTGTGGAACATTACTGTATTTATATTCAAGAATTAGCGACTTAAAACAAGCTTCTTTATCTTAAAGAAAGGTTACTTTTAAGTGAGTTTTGTCTTAACTCAAGTGTTCTAACATATTTGAAAGATTCTTGGTAAGATTGTGTTTTTGCATTAACTCAGTTTGAAACGTGAATAAACACCAGAAACCTTTAGGAAAGTGATACTGTGGGAGTGCTGCAACAGAAAAGCCACAAATCTGACGTAAACGTCTCATTATCTTTCTTAATAAATAAATTAAGACTCTTTATATATAATTTTTAAACGTTGTACATTCCTTATTATTTTAAATAAGTAAACCTGTTACCATCACTCCTAACTTTTCTGAAAACAAGCAGAGCGGATTTTGCCTTCAGAAAACATGCAGCCGTTCTACAGCTGAGTCTTCCCCAGATAAAGCAAACCTAATGGGGCAGAGAATATGATGCGTGTCTCCGTCTTTCTCCGCATTTCCATCTCTTTGTCACAACTTTACAGTTCAGCGTCTCTCAAGAGTTCTCCGCTTTCTACTCGTGCAAATCTGACGAATGACGGGGGCCGGCAAACGCGTAAAACGCAGCCGGAACACGACTGCCGAACTCATCCCGGCTCACTCTTTTGAAAAGACGCCTTCCCAGAACAACGGACATCTCTCGCCCTCTGCTCCCTCTCTCTCTATGTGTCTCTCTGTGGTTCTGATGAAACCGAGACAATTAACTCAGAAACAGGATGTGCAATTATCTGAAGGATTCTCGTGGATAAGCGGGCTTATTTAGGGTGCCGGGCAAAAGTATCCGTACACCTTGGACCTCTTCAAATCCTGTGACGTTAGCAAATAAAAGAGAAGAAAATGATACCCGACTTTAATTCCCTCCCTCCCTCAAAAAATTATGTTTATTTTTATTTAGCCCATTTACTCTAATATGCCTTTAAAAATCAGCTATTCGGTAAATAATCAGCTTCCTGTTTTGTTGAATTTCATTTAAATTTCCTGAACTGATTCTGCTGTGATTCGGCCAGAAGCAAACAGCTGGATGCGTTTTTGTCACATGCGCCTATAATTTAACTTTTTGCTCCACATAAAGATTGCTGCGTATGATGGAAAACACAGCACATGACCATAAACACTTTAAACAAACCCAATAAAGAATCTCTGAGAAGAATTTAACATAAACACATTTACAGAAAACCTCCTTCCAATCTGCCAGAGGCTTTTCTCTCTAGTTGTGCGAGACTTGGCAGCTAAAGGTGATTCTGTGAAGAACTGACTCAGGGGGGTTGAATGCAAACACACACCAGCGTTTCAGATTTTTATCAGGAATATTGGAACCTGTGTGTTGTATTTCATCCACTTGAAAACTGTGCACTACTTTAAAATCCAACTAAAGTACTGTGAAGTAAAGTGACAAAAAAAAAAAGAAAAAGTCCACACAGCATTACTAGAAAAAGTGAAAGTGTTGAGCACAACGGCAAACTTTTGATCTAGATTTAGCAAGCAGAGGCCAAACAAACACTTGGCTGCAGATTCAGAATGAGTCGGAGTTCCTGACAGATGTTAGAGCCGGAGCTGGAGAATCCGGCAAATCGCAAATGAGGACGACTTTACAGAGAACTCAGGCTACGTTCATACAGCAGGTCTTGATGTTCCAATTCTGATCTTTTTTTTTTTTTTTTGCATTGTTCATTCTACCAATTAAAGTCAGACTTTTATTTGAATGGTTAACAACCCCAAAGCAACCTGCTTGCACAGAAGAAGAACGTTAACGTAACACAGCGGCGCTCCGTTTGCGGAAGTAATAGCGGATTGAGCCGTTTATGGATGAATTTTAATGTTCATTCAGCAAACCGACAAGATCATAACAAGATGAAGGAAGCAAACTGAACTCTCAGCTAAAAACAATAATATTTTGTGGAGCATTGACTGCAACTTCTGTAGAAGTAGAAATATGCTTGGATGTGTAGTCGGAACCAAGAGAGTTGGGGTTGTGATGTGATCATGTGATGCAGTGACAAACGTCTTTCATAAGTTCATAATTATGAACTCATGAGCAAATAAAACGGAAATAAAGCAGGTTTGGGTCACATTCAGCTCCTGCATGAACGTAGCCTGAAATAGATCACGAGATACACAGAGACACATAAACACGTGAAAACAGTGGAAGATTATCAAAATTAAAAAAACACCCTACAAAACCCTCCAGTCTAAATTTAATAACGTTGCTCATCTACAAGAAAACCCAAGGGCTGGGAGCCGAGCTTGTCCGTCTCCCTTTCGCGGCATTCGCGTCTGCGCTGCTTCAGAACCGAGAACATCAAATGAAAGATGCATTTTTACAAAAAAAAAAAAAAAAAACCCCCAATTTTTACTTCCTCTCCCCCCCCCCTTCCTCCAGG